AGGGGGCGGGTGTAGCATGGTTGGATTCTTGCTGTTTCTAGGACAGAAGCTTAGACTTGGCTCTGTCCCTGTGTTCCTTCTCCTCAGCAAAGCTACAACTTCGAGGGGATTCATGTTTGAGTTACACAGAAAGACTGCTTGGCTGGATCTAGATAAAAAATTGAAAGCACGTATCTCGCCACTGGTTAGTTCTCCTGGTCCTCTATGAGAGGAGAAATGAGGAACCAGAGGGGAAACTTGATTTCAACATTGCAAACCATTCTATTCCTCATCCCCTTTTGGTAAAGAAATATTTAAGTCGCATGCATTCTTGGAGAGAATTTTCAAAAAACACTCAGCCCACAAGAATTCTGTTCATCCCACAAACTCTGCCTTGGTCCTGCGAGCATTTGCTAAGACCGGCTCCTCCACTTTCAGTCCATCAGCATTTTCTCCTTGTGCCTTTAATACCAGTAGGTTAGGATAACACAGACATCTGCCACTTGGAGAAACAGTGCTTCAATCCAGGGCTGCTCCTCAGCAGTAGCTCTCATCTCAAGTCATTATAAAAGAAATAGAAAAAAAGAGGCCCGTACTCAGTTGAATTTCGCTAAGCTCTCCAGCTGACTCTCTTTGGTATTTGTTTGCTTATCTTATTCAGCATGGTTACTCTCCAGTATTTTTTTTACTTTCCTTGTTTAAATTATTTATGAAAAAAAAACACTGCCCAGGGTTTATGACAATGGCTCATTCTCTGTATGGCATAGTTTTTGGAAATAAGATTAACTATGGGACAGAAAAACAACAACTGCCATTTTGGAGTCCTCTCCCTTTCCAAACAAGGTGGGCTGAAACTGCACATTTTTCTTGGGAAGCCAGGATTCCACTTGAGGCAGATGGCCTGGAGGCCAGTGCACAGTATAACTGACTCTCTGGTTGCACTTCCAAGTGGGAAACATTTGGTTAATATCAGGTCATTTCTATTCTTAACCTTGTAGCATAATATTAGGCTTCTCTCGTGGCGGGAAACCCTGGCCAGTCCTTTTACATCGAGGAAAGAGACGCATTTTCTAACAGAAGGGGAAGAAACACCAAAGGGATCTTTCCTTTTTCAACCCAGCAGGAAGGAGGACACGTCAGGCCCATTTTAGAGGCAATATTGCTGGTCTTTACACCAACTTGCTGTACTATGGCAGTGGATAATTTGGCTCTGGCAGGACAGTGGTGAATTCAGTCACTGGATCTATAAGTATAGAAACGCTCCAAGAAGTTTCACTGTTTGAAGGTATTTAAAATATCAGTTGAAACCCCCATAGCACATGATATCCTTTGGATGTGTTCAGTCCCTGGACTGGTGGAGAAATATTTTGGTTCTAGATTTTGTTTTAAAACAATAAAAAAGCTATTTTGTTTTTATTACTCTGCATTTTGGGGGATTGATATCTTCCTCCGAAGCAAAAATGAGATTCAATGAACATAAAATACTCGATGCTGGGGATTCAGAAGATAAGACACGGTCCTTACCCTCAGGCTTCTAACTGATCAGCAGGAGAAACAGGCTTAAACACAAAACAAGTAAATACATTAGGAAAAGTTGGCAAAATTCAAGGTTTGTACATTTAAAGGAGCAAGAAATCTGGCACAGGGAAGAGTAGTGAGGCTGGGAGAACTTAAGAAATGCCACGAGCTAGTTCTTAGTTGAGTGGCAGGATTTGCCAAGAGAACATCCTGTGGAAGACATTCAAAGCATAAGGAGCAGCATGTGCTAAAGGCCTCACCCATGAACATTCTCAGCCTGTAACTAGGGTGTAATCCAAGGGGACAGAGTAAGGTGGAGGTGAGTATGGAGGAGCTATGAAAAGAGAGAGAGACCAGAAGGAGGATTATTACGGCGCATTACGTCCTTCCTTCCTTGAGGAGGCAATTGTTGGGTAAATACTTGACAAAATGCCTCTTCGTATGTTTGTTGTAAGCGTTTATTAAAGTGGGCAACTAACATTTTCGACCTGGCATTTTGGGCGAAAGGAAGAGCGAGTGATGCCTGGGCGAGTGTGTTCAAACTTTGTAACAAGGCTGATGAACCCTGGAGATGTACGTCAATGTTTCATGTTCTTCACAACAGGACGTGAGCGTACAGTTATCAAATCTAGTCATAGACCTAAGACAAAAAAAAGCAACTTATTTTTTTCTCCAGGCTTGTCTGAGACGACAGGAATACAGAAAAGACCCAAATGAGAAGAAACAAGATCAATTTGGGGAGCAAGAGACAAATTTTGAGAGATCCCGGTTTTCAAGCGGGTCATCTTCCAAACAGGTACTTAAACTCTGGCAGACATTCTCGTGCTGCTGCCTTGTGTGTGTGTGTGTGTGTGTGTGTGTGTGTGTGTGTGTGTGTGTGTGTGTGTGTGTGTGTGTGAGACTTAGGAAAAAGCTGACTCAAAACTCCTAACATTCAGGCCAGGAAGAGGCAGGGTCAGGGGCTCCCACGCTGGGTACGACCCCCGCCATATGACCTTGCCTCTTCACCCTGGCTGGGCCTTGTTCTTCTTTCCTTAAAGTCTAACCCATTGCATTGCTGAGTGTAGTTCTTATTTTAAATGAAGAGAGTAAAAGGCAGTAATAACTGTATCAAATAATAACTTGCAATTCAAATATTTTTGTCTAGGATGATACTAATAATATCAATATAGTAGTAGCATGAGAACGATGATGACAACAGTAGTGGTAGTTACCATTATTTGAGTGCTTACAACATTCCAGCATGGTGCTACACACTTTATGTGTATTTAATTTTCATAAATCTATCCATTCCTCTCACTTTGCAGAGGAGAAAACTGAGCGTTAGAAAAGTTAAGAAACGTTACCTAAAATTTCACAGCCAGTATGTGGTAGAAGAGGAATTCTGTTCCAGGCAGTCTGACCCCAGAGGGGGTGCTCTGAACCACTGAGCTATACGATCCTATTTCACGTGTAAGATCTTATCTGCATAAGAATTTTACTTATCCAATGTAAGCTAAGTACCACAAGCTGCATTCAACACCAGTTGTTAGCATGGCCAATTGATTTAAGATGAGTAATATGCCTTTTATGAATTCTTATTTAATATTTTATGCCTGAAATATACTCTAGAGGATGGACTTTCTTTTTTATCAGTGGTATGGACCCCTGAGATAGATCCTGGGTACCTGATATCAATCAAGCTCTTGTTGGGATTTCTTCTTTAATCTAGGATATTTTTGGACTGCGGTTATTTAATGTTCAAAAGACACCTAAAAACATCAGTGATTGATGTTTATGGATGTAGCTGCATCCCTGGGAGAGATCTACCCTCCCTATTAAGAAACATACAATCACATGATAAAATATTCCTCCTAGGGTGTGAGGGTGAGAGAGACTATCTCACAATAGTGGCCGCACTGAGAAGAACATGTCGCCTGGATCTTCTCCTTACTCAAGAATAAAATATAATTTAATCAGCCCGATGCTGATGAAGTTTAGGGAGTGAGATTAATCCAAAAATTAAATCTAGTTTGGCTAGAACAAACCATTTTTAGTATTAAGATAACTTCTCATATTTTTTCACTTAGAAACAAAAATCAAGGACAGATTTTTTTTTAAGTAATTAAGTCAATAGGTAGCATGTAACAATCTTCCTAGACTGGAATTACTAAGCACTGGGCAGCTGGGTTCTTGTACTTTCATGAAAAGACCCACAGGCACCGTCGTAGCCATTTTGTATGGCGATATTCCTGCGTTTGGGATATTCTAGGACTTGATGTTTCATGCTCCTCTCCACAAACTTTGTCTGGGGGACAAGCTGGTGACAGATTCTTGAAGATTCCTTCTTCACGCTATAAAAATTATTCATTCCTTAAATCATCATTGCAAAACACTCAGACCACATCTAAAATAGGACATAGCTGTACATATAAAAGTAATTATGAAATAAAGACAAAAATATGTGGTGAGATGCATAAAACTGGCAATTTCTATTCTAAAGTACAAGGGCAAAAGTTTTCATGTTTGTGCTATGTCACTGTACCTCACTATGTCAGAGAGCTCAAAACAGCATTGCTTACATAATCCCAATTTTTTTCAGGATAATGATATCCCAAGGGCTTGGGCCTTGATTGTACAAGTGTCTTCAAGGTCACATCTGCTCTACTGAGAAGAGTGACAAAATCAGAATTTTCTGCAGTGAGATTCACCTCTGCTTGGTTTTCTATATCACAGATATTCTGAGGGGGACTCTGGAGGGTTGGCCTCTGGACACCACAGGGCAGGAAGGACAGGGTGAGAGAAGATGTCACTGAACGCATCACGCGCAACAGCCATCTGACTTGTGTGCTCATGACATTGATCCGTCCTGGCTCAATCCTTCAACATTTGCTCCGTACAAGTGAAACCAGAGATCCCGTATGAGACTCAAATCAGATCCTGGAAATCCTCAACCCCCAGGATCATGGGTTGGTTTGGAGAATTCCCTTCCCAGGTTTGGACCCCTACCCAAATTTGTAAGAAAATCTGGCAGTTCTTAAACAAACCTTCATAGTCTGGGCCTGCCCTTCTAGATCTCGAATCCTGAAGGACTACAGAGCTTCTCAAGCCTCTTTCTGCAGGGTCCTCCATGGCAGGGAAGTCCTGGAGCTAGTCTGCCAGAAACAGGCTGTGAATGAGAATGCTGGCACCTCCCAAAGGGAATCGAGGCCAGGCTGATCCAGTTTCCAGAGCTCAGTGTATTGAATGTCACATCAGGCACTAGAGTGCAAAAGATCCTTGGTCAGTCAGGAAAGGGCAGGAGCAAGATACAGTTCAATGAGACGGTGTAAGCCTAACCCAAGACCTCCTCCCTAGGTGAACATCCCCCTAAGTAATTTCCTTCTAGAGACTGCTGTGGCTGAAAACGCTAAGGAACACTTTGCCTCTGACTTCTGAAGGCAAGTTCACTCTCTGATTGAGTGGGGAGTATGAAAGTGGATTGCTTAATCCATGGACATTTTTTCCACCGTCCAGTCACTACGTGAAGCATGCCGCCACCAAATTTTGACACATACTGCAATTTCCGTCACTTGTTCATTCCTCAACCCAGCCTCAGATTTAGATGGGCTTGGAATAAGCGAGGCATTTACCACCTAGTAATAGAGCCAGTATCAAGCTATGATTTCCAGACTCCTACCTAGAGGTGGGCAGGTTCCCCAAATGCAGATTAACGTGGTGTCCTCTCCATTTGGCACAACCTGCTCACTAGGACCAGTGGCTTTAACCTCTGGTTAGGCAGAGGTTGTGTTAAATCTACATCCAAGATAAAGCAATAACCATCGATCCTGTGCTGAGATGTTCTTTAAAGTGGTACCTCCTCAATACATTTAAGTGGGTGGTGTGGAATAGTAGAAAGAACACTTGTCATCAAGGGCCAGCTCTGTCCCTCATTACAGTGTGAATTCAGGCAAAACCACTTTACTTCTGAGCACTTCAGTTTCCCACCACGGAGATACTTATCATTATGCTTATCTCATGGGATCATTCTGAGAACGAGTGAGACTTTTAAATGTCATACTAACATTAGATCGCATTATGAATTGCCTTGGTGTCCGACTATTCTTGCAAATGATGCTCCCAACAGATATCAGTGGAAGCGCAGGTTCTGGAGGCTTCTAGAACACCTTCTTACACCTCAGCTCAGCCCCAGGCCACATTTGTAAAAAGCCAACCTAAGGTAGCAACTTAATTTTAGACCCTTTTCAAAGTTACATACAACCTTGTGAGCAGTCTAATCGCACTAGAATTTAACCGGGAAGTAAACATCAGCTCCACATAACCAACTAGAAGCTGGATGATTTAGTAGATGAAAAAGCAAAGCAGTCTCTCCATATGAGCAGGAAATCGTGTCCCCGGGACAGCTGCTGGCCTAGAGGAACCAGCTGTGATTGACAGGGGCACCAGGATATTTCACCTTCTCAAACCTTCACAGAGAAGGGACAGGAGCCCTGATTTCCCCATTGAAAATGATTAATTAGCCCAGGACTGGGGGACAGCAACCTTCTATGAAGAGACACATCATGGCCTTTCTCATCTTCCAAGGTCCTGTATCTTTGCTGTGTGGGACACTGTGCCAAATGCGCAAACCTCAAGGACTGAGGAGGTGTTGTCACTGCGTTTACTTCATTGGCAAAGCAGGTGGAGATGAGCTCCCAGTTTTTCAAGAGCACTGTTTGCTCTGCTGATCGGAATAGGACTATTGTCCTTTCGTCATCAGCACCTGAGCGACTAAGCACCGGGTCACAGGGACCCAACGTTACATTGGAAGGAGGCAGTTCACCTGATACCAGCAGCAGCTGGCTCTGGCCCGGACCTGGCTCCACAGGATGTTTACATCAGTGAGATCACCTGAATCTCCCAGAAAGCCAGGTAAGCTGAAGACTGAAGGCAGTTTACCCAACACAAACATATTCATTGTTCTGTCCACGGTAATCCACACAAACTTTGGAGGTTAAAAAATAAAGCTTTTTCAAGTAACCTGCAGTGGCTTAAAAAGTCAGGGTGTCTATCCATAAATGAAGGCAACAAAAGCCCACAAATGTGCTGTCCAATACTGTAGCACGTGGGGCTATTTCGCTTTAAGTTTAAATGAATGAAAATAAAATTGAAAAGCCAGCTCCCTAGTCTCACTAGCCACATTTCACATGCTCAGTAGCCACATGTGGTCCATGGCTGCCATACTGGACCATGCAAATGTAGACCATTTCCATCATTGCAGGAAGACCTGTGGGACAGCCCTGCTCCAGAATGTGGTCAAGTTCAAAACACAAACAAGATAAGACCCCATGGGCCAGGAAGGGGTTTTGTTTCCCAGAAACTGCATAATATACAATGCTTTGCATACTGCAGCTCTGGCTGGCTTGATTTGCATTTTGCGTGTTTTTTTTTATAACTACTGGGTATATTTGCATGACTTCTTTCATTACCTATTTATTCAGCCTATTGTGCCTGTGAAACCTTTAGCTTCTCCTCTTTCAAACAGCTTTCGGGAGTTGTTCTCCCATTAATCTGTCAATGTCAACCTACCAACACCCTTAATGGTGTCATGAAAGCAGCCAGGGCTTAGCACATGACATATGCATTCCATGAGTCACATTTGCAATTTTCTCTAACTTCTACTTGTCCATTGACAGATTCCTGTGGGGTCAGGCCTCCGTTCTTTCTGTCCCCAGGCCTGTGTGTGGATGAGGCAGGTCACAGACGCACACACTGGTTCTAGCTGCCAAAGGGCCCCACCCTTGGAGGGTGTGAGTCATCTCTAACACCTGGTATGGT